GAGTGTTAAACTCCGTCCTCCTCCACTCGGCACCGCAGTCTGCCTCCAGTGAAGACTCTACTATGTCAGAACCTGGGGTTCAGTTCAAACTGACGCCACTTCCTGCCACTGAAATCTATTCAACAAATTTGGTTTAAATCTTTGCCACCTCATAGCAGCTCTCACTACTGTTTTACCCTTAGATCTAAAAACAAGTTGTTCCTAAATGTCTGTTTAGGTCTCACAGTCATCGAGGTCATGTTTAAGTAAATAATGGCGTATGTTATAAATTACGTTTTCTTAAACTAGTATTATTGTTAGAACCATGGACTTAGAGGTTACCAAGCTGACTAACAATATGATAATATTCTAGTCAATGATGCCAAAACATACAATTTTAATTAATTTAAGAATATTTAATCCCAAAATACACCTTAAATTATTATTATTATTTTATGTCAGTACATGTTAAGATAAAAAAAATACGACCCAAATGCGACCCACACTGGTGTAGTGTGTAGTGTATTTATTTTAATGTGTTTTGATGCATATATAGTGTGAAATTACAGTATATAATTCAGGGTTGGGGGGTGCGTCTGAGGCGTCGGTGGATGATGATGGTGATGATGATGATGATGATGCTGATGATGATCATAGTGGTGGTGGTGGTGGATTACACACAGCAGCAGATGATGTGCTGCCTGCCCCACATTAGCATGAATGCTTCATTATCCCGCTACTTGTACATAATGGCAACAACTCCACGGAGGGGTCAGGCCTCGTCACGGCTCATCAGCTCACTGACGGCCCGGCCTAAAGAGAAATGAGGAGCAAGGCAGCGCTGCTCCCCACTAATCCATCGCCTCTATTTAACACCCCGGCCCTGAATAGCCTGCAGAACACACTGTATGGCTTTTGTTATCTCTATATACACATGGCCATGATACAGTGGAGAGATGCTCTACACTGGAGTGTGTACTTTGTGTTTTCTTAATTTGACATGATATTTTGGACGTTGCTTAGAAATATAATAATGTAGATTTTATCATTTGTTGAGGAGAATATCAGCTGTTTTGTGAAAGAGACGACATTTTTGCGACTCAAATGAATTCATGGATCCATATAAACAAATATTTATTACTGAACCTCCAGTTTCATTTAGTCTTAAGGATAAGATACATGCAACTAGTTTTGGTACAAGACAAACCACCTCAGGGCTAATTAAAATACACCAGGTATTGCATAATGTTATAGAACAAAATATAAATTTAATAGTGAAGAGTTCCATTCTAAAAAAAATCACATATCTCCTTTAAAAAATAGCCATTGCACCAGTATGCGCAGTATGTTAAAGAATGATGTAAATAATATGTTATGTACGTATGTATGTATGTGTTTTTTGTCACTTTTACTACACTGGCTTCATTCATTTGAAGTAGTGACAGCAGTGAAAATATGGAGTTTCTGCCTCCGTTTTCCCCCTTCAGCTTCAGCTGCTGTACATTATTTTGACAAGCCTCAAACATTGGAATATATAATGATAAATATAACACATTTTCAAAAACATTGTACTCTGGTTCCAGCAGAAATTCATGGTTAAACTGTAATGTTGCTCTGCAATAATTGATAATCAGTAATATTTTTTTTTAAAATAAAAAGTATCATTCACATTTACTTCTTACTTGACCCCCGTTCCAACATGTAGCTCCTGGGTCTGATCCAGGTTGCTTTCTGTTTCTGACCACACACTCCACTGTGCTGATGGTGCATATGACGGTGTAGGTGGAGGTGCAGTGCTGGTCTGTTAGTGTGAGTACTGTGCTGCTCTTTCTACGCCACGAGCTGATTATTTCTCCACTGTAATTACATTATCCTCCCCTTTATGCAGGAGTGGTCTCTGGGGTCTAATGGATACAGCTATGTATAATTCATTTATCATTAGCATCCAATTTGACAATTAGACCTGATTGTTGAATTTTAAATATCATTCACAGTTGTCTCCCTGTTAGACATGTGGTTTTATTTTTTTGTTTTTTATTATTTTATTTTTCTCTTTTGAAGGCGTCAAAGAGACAAACCTGTTAAAGAGAAAAAAGGATCTGTCAGTACGGAATATTTATTTAGCTTAAGTGATTATTATAAGGTCAAACAACAGTGCGTTGTTTGTGTAATATTAGGTGGAAACAGTGCTGCTCACATCAGACTTTATGAAATCCCACCGCAAATGGTCCTAATTAGCTGATAATGCAAGCAATCAGGAGCCTTTCTATGGAAGGCCTGCGTTTATTATATCATCTTCATCCATCACTTTTTCAGAAACAAAAGTTTGATTTTTTTTTCCAGTAACCCTATTCCTCGACTCCCCCCCTTCCTCCTCCTCCCTCTCCTCACCCTCTTCATCCTCTGCTCTGATTTCCAGCGTGCTAATTTAGTCTGCGCTCCTCGGCATGATTCCCTCGCTCTCCCACCCATTCTTGCTGCGATTCTGTTCCCTCCCCTCTGGGACCTGAAGATTAATATTCCTGGGCCCAACAAGATAATTACTGATACTAATTAGACATGATTATGTGAATTTGATACACTTATTACTCTAGATAATGAGTAGGACATATTATCCTAACAAGCACCCGTGCCGCTTAGTTTACTTTACACACGACCCACACACTATATTTCCTGTTATTGTCACCTCAGTCAGAAAACTGAAATTCTCCTGTAAGCGTTGAATAGAAGGTGCCATCGTGACAGCTTCAGGTCGAGACAAATATTTCTGATGGAATTCTGAGAGGATTGTCCTAAAACTAAACCTGGTAATTTAGCAGAAATTTCTACAAATAAACATATATTTTTAAACAAATAAAATATATAACGTAGCATCTAATTTTTATTGCCCTTTTTTTTAATTTTTAGTATTTTAGTATGTTGGTAATTTAATTATAGCCATAGTTTAAAATGATAAAAATGTATAGATTTGTACTGCAGTTACCTGAAAACCTTTATTTAAAAAGCAAGAAAATTGAACATATTACTAACCATGTCACTGACAGTAGAGAAATTCAGTTAACTACTTTTTACCATTTATTATAAATGATAAATAAATAGTAAAATAAATAATATAGAAATAATAATAATAATAATTTGAAATGTTAAGGTCCATCATTAGTCCATGGTCACCATTATCTAATTTTCCTCCTTACAACGTGCCAAATTTTTAAAATATTTTTTTCTTTTTGCTTTGTAAATAAAGCTTCGAACTGCTTTAAAAAATAGTAAGCTCTTAGTTTTAATTGTATTTTTTAAAATATTTATTTCTTTGAGAATAGGCATTTGTGTGTTTTAGCATCAAGCCCCTTCACATGGCTGTTAAATGTGTCTGTGGACTTTTCATCAGAATAGTTGGGATGTGCGGCAGCGGCTGCTTGTGAACAGGAGGGAAGGACCTCACATGGTGCAGCCTCGCCCATGAATTAGTAAAGAGAGCCGGGCGTCCGCCGCTCGTCTGATTGGAAGTTAGGGAGAGAACGCCTGCTGACGCCAGTGGAGATGGATGTGGCAGTCAGAGGGATGAGGCGAGATAATTAGCGTTCAGAGTGTATCTTGTTAATTAAGGGCTAATTAGAGGCAGAGGAGGAGGGAGAGGGATGCTGTGTGTGTGTGTCTGTGTGAGGGAGGGTTTGTCTGAGGCAGAAGATGTGCACAAATAAGGCGGCAGCGTCAAAGTGCTGCAGAAACTACTAAAAAACTCAATTACATCACTGTCACTTCTTCAGACTTTCCCCCTTCAATGAAAACAGTTTCAGCCGACTAAGTTAGGAGCTGCAGGGAACATAATAAAGTGGAGTTTTCATTTTCCTGGACTTGTCACTTGTTTTCCAGGTGCTCCTCACTCCAACAGCAGCACGTCCCTGCAGACGGGCGGGTCGGTGTTTGGCGGCAGTAAAGATGGAATGCATCAACGCTCCTTTTCCGTGTCCAGTGCCGACCAGTGGAATGAAGCCATCAACACCAGTACGAGCAGCGGAGCCCGTAAGAACTCTACTTTCTTTACGTTTCATCCTCTTCCTCTTCACACACAATCACCACAAAGTGAATGAATGTATTAAAACATGCATACTTGTAAAAGTGTGGTTTGATAGAGATGCCATTTAAAGGCAAACGGCGCTCATTTTCATAATGAGTGATCAGGGCCTTGATGGCTGTGACCTTTTTTTTTGCAGCAGCTCTGATCAGAGCAAGGAGGAGAGCAGTGAAGGTTAACTCGCTGCCATCGATGCATCTCCTCCTACTGCTGCTGTGTCACATTACACCTTGTCACTGTAGTTTAGCGAAATAAGCTAATATATTCACCATGCATGTCTGCTGCCCCCCCATCTTTACCTTCCATCTTCCTCTCTGTCACCCCCTCCCCTTCCTTCGTTTCTCTCTCTTTTCTTCCGAAGAAGAAAATGAATGCTTTTCAGGGGTACCATTCATCACCAGTTATTTCCCTCTCTTTGTGGTTGGCAGTAAAAAAGCACTTAAATGCACATCAACAGAATAACAGTCATTTCCATGCATGTTTGCACTCTGGTAGTTCTCATTAGCGCGGCGGCGGCTCCCTCCCTCCCCATGGGCTCCCAGGGGCCCCGCCAGTTTAAAGAGCGCACTTTATGAGCGCCGTTGGAGTCCAACTGCATGGCCCTCGTGGTTCCGCAGACAAGCCTGTCTCTCATTTGGAGCTGCCAAACGATCAATTCTGCCTGGATGCAGGCACTTCCATCACCCCCTACCCCCGTCTCCCATCAGCAGCATGCCCAAAGCAGAATTACTTAGATTCGTGGGGTCCTCAAATAAATGAGCGCAACTGTGCATCGTGTGTGTGTGTGTGTGTGTGTTCTCACACATTTTTTTGTGGTAACTGTTTGTATGTGAATTTTTCTACAGAGAGAGAGGGCTGTGTATCAAATCAAAAAGGCCCAAGATTAGATATTTGTGAACAT